GTCTCTGCCTTTCTGTCTATGTCTGTCTGTCTCTCCTCTCTGTCTCTACCTTTCTGTCTCTGTCTGTCTCTGTCTGTCTCTCCCTCTCTTTTCTAAGGAATTTATAGCCCAGGGGCACTCCCATGAGCTGGTTTGATGAAGGGTTTTGGTCACTCTCCTTACTCAGTCCCTGACAGTGAATCAGAGCCAGAGGGCATGTGGGTCTTTCTGGTAGGGGGAAGGGGGGGCACAGGCCAGTTATGGAAATGGGGTTGTCAAAGTGCTCATCGGTACCAACTGACACCAAATTTCTTGTGCCCATTTTGGGATCTGCTGAAGTCAAACTCATGAGATGCTGGCCGAAATCCATCCCCTTCAGGAGCTCAGTTGCGCTGTCCCATGATGATGAGCATGGCTGCCCTGGTCAATAGCCCAATGGGTTGCCATTGTCTGTCTGCCTCCTTCCTGGGCTGCGTCAGGATTCCAGGCTCTCCTCATTGTCTGTTTGAGTAACAGTCTGCCAGCATCTGCCGTTCATCTTGACATGTTCCTCTGTTTTAATAGCCTCATTTGTTTCCTGATACTATGGAGGCTCTATGCATTTATCACTAGTGCTCCTGTGCAGGACCAGGTAAAGGTAGATGTCACCTAGGGTCAGCCTTCCTCTGAGATCCTCTGTCCCAGGCTCATTAATCCAGTTCTTGTCTGGCCAGCTTTTGGAGGAACCATCCTTCTTCTGCTGGGACAATGCCAAGGTGGGCGTCTTCCTGGAATCCTTGCCTGGGGGCTTTGTGACTGAAGCTTGTGGAAAACCCCCTGTGGGTCTGCTTCTACCCCCTAACCAGCCCTTCTCCATCTCCCTCACTGGATCTGAGTTCTCTTCCTGACTCCATCAGGCTGGTGCTTCCCAAGCCTGTGGCCCTGTGGCCCCAGGCTTCTCCCCAAGACCAGCCCACTGGCTTTCCTTGTCACAGATGCCCTGTGGGATGCCCCTCACGCTGCTTCTTGTGTGATATCCCATCCTGTAGCCCAGTTGTCATGGGTCATGCCTTGACTTGTCATGCCCACCAGCATCAGAAGATGAAGATGCACTAAGCAGCTAGCCTGAGCCAAGCACACGCAGAGGATTCAGGCACCACACGATACCATTCAGAAGCTCTGACTGAAGGATCACTTTTTGTGCTATGTGAAAGGGGGCACCATGGGCAGCTTTGCTACCCTTAAGGCAGGTGTGTTGCAGAGGAAGTAAAGGTCTCCTTGATGAAATGGGAGAAGAGAGCTAGGGGCTTTTACAAGTGACATTTTGACGGGGATCAGAAACCTAGAGCAGGAAAGAGCTTCGGGGGTCCCAGAGTTCAACCACCTAATTCCTCAAAGGGAGGCAAAGGGACTTGTCTGAGGTCACAGAGGTTCTCTGATTCCAGAGACAGCCATTCTGCTGCTGTACCCCATCCTCAGATCCACACAGTTGACTGATGGGAGCAGAGAATATAATATCTCTTGGTTTGCTTATTCAATAAACTAGATTTCAGGGTAAGTTAAACTGGTCCAGGAAGTGTGGAATTCTCTTTATGGCTGATGCCATGTTCTCATACTAGGCTCACGGTTCTATGAGAGCATCCCAGACTGAGGGAACGGACAAGGAAAAAACAGCTGACACTGATCAATCCCTAGTCCTTCGCACTGGCTGGGCAAGTCTGGCATTCTCTGGCGCTTCCTCAGCACCTCCTCATCCTTAGAAGCTCTGCAGGAAGCAATTAATTAATCACTCAGTATTCATGGGGTACCTGCTGAGTGCTTGGTACTGGAGTAAAGTTATGAAGAAGACAAAGGATAAATGATCCCTATTCTCCAGGACCATGCATCCCAACGGGAGAGACACTAAGGGCCTGCAGAAGTGTGCCAAGAATGGTTGGGAAGGCCCAGAATTAGCCTGGGTCTCCAAGGACCAGCCCAGCTCACTCATGAAAGGCACAGCCCCCAAAGCTTGGCTTCCACACTCTAGGTAGATTGTCATTCTCTCCAAGGCTGGAGACTGTGGCGCTCCATTAGTGCTGGGTGGGAATGCCCACTAGGTCAGCATCACCAGGCTTTTGGTGTCCTTAGCCATAAAAGGAGTCCTTTATTCCATTGTCTTCCCATGTTCTCTCTCAGTATTCACTCGGTTCAGCTTCTCTGCCCATCTCATGACTTGGACACGAGAAGTGGTATCCGAGAGTTTCAGGGACATATGGAATTCAAAAAAGAGGTGGGCTGGTCATGTGGCAAGAAGTTGGGACCACAGGTGGACAGCCTGAGGGCTGCTCTGGGATTCATGTGGTGCTGAAAGACTCAGAGGAAAAGCCTTCTGAATGGAGGACTCAAGGGAAGGCATGGCCAGCAGCTACAGAGACGCAGAGGCAGAGATGGGCTGTGACTGATACTGTCGGATGCAGTCCATGCATCCAGGAGACCCCACAGGCCCCCACTCTCTTACAAGGGGTGCTATAGGTAAAGAGTAGAGGCAGTTGGGAGAGGAGAGGATGGCCATGTTCTTTCCCAGGCCCTCCCTGGCTGAGCATGTTGGCTACTCCCACCCACCTCCCCCCACACCCACCGCTGGTGGAGCCAGAAGCTGAGGATGTGCTCATAGAGACATGTGGAAAGAGCCCTGGACCCAGAATCAAATCCTTCCCCTGCCACGTACCACCTGGGTGAGTGACCCTGGAAGCCAGATGGGTCTCATCTGTTGAAAGACAGAGAGAAGGACAAAGCAGGCGTGATGGTACCATTAAAGCCTGGTCTCCTCTTGGCCACCAGCCCAAAGTATATCCCATTGGCATTCAGGAAGAAACCAGGACCCAGGTTCTCATACCGAGGGGTATTTTTTATTATTAAATAGAACACTGAGTTAGAGACAAACAGCATTGGTCTTCAGACATTCAGTTTTTCAGGCAAATGCATCTCATCCCATTTTGAGAGAGTCCATGTGTTTCCTGGACCCGTCTACTGCACCTCTCGTCTTCGGCAAGGAGGGCACTCAGGGGGCTGTCTCAGAATTGAGGGTAAGGCATCCAAAGAAAGAATGAGAAGCCTCCCACCCATTCCCCATCCCCTATTCAGTTCCAGGCCATAATAAAGAAGAGAAATCACTGGAGACAGCCAGGCTTTGGTTCTGAAAAGCGATAGTCAGTGGGCAGGATAGAAGCCGCCGGGCAATCACGTTAATCGCTTTATATCAAAATAAATCAAACTGACATTGATTTCAAGGCCATTGCGAATTAGAGTTCACCTTCTCCATCTTTAGCTAGATGCTACAAATTGAGCTGGAATACAAGGAGGAGGAGACCGAAGGGGGGGACATTCTGGGACAGCGCATCCATGGGAAGTATAGCCTTTGGTGGGGTGGGGGGAGGGAAGAGGAGTCAGGTCTTTTTTTCCTAGGAAACACTAAATGGGCCCCCCTGGATTCTGAAGGAAGAGGGATGGCAGCGTCTCCTTTCCCCAGCAGGAAGATTATAGTAAATGGTCCTAGGGAAATAGGAATTTTGGTTTGGCAACCCCAGATTTGGGCTTCTTCTAACCCCTGACTCTGATCTCTGAATTTGACAGGCCTAAGAACCCCACAAGAGTGCTAGACTCTCTGACAAATGGAGGTGAGAGTGCTGGAAATGAAAGTGGATTTCATCAGATGCCCTGACCACCCACCTCATGGCCCCTGGGAGGCTGCCCAGCTTTGAACCCAAGGAGAAAGAAGAAAACGGATTCTTTTTGATAGTAAATAGGCTCCCTTCACCCAACCACCACTGGATGTATGGAATCTCCAAATCTGTCTCATGTAATTCTTTCTACTTGTGGGGAAAAGCAGAAATGGAAGGAAGTAGAGACCTGCTGGGACAGGTGTCTCCTCTGGGTTTGATGGGTGTAAGATCAAGGCATCATAGCAAGAGAGAGAAAGACAGAGAGAGAGACAGAGAGAGAGAGAGAGACAGAGAGAGAGAGAGAGAGGACCCTAGTGGGTCACTGTATTTCCTGATAATCTGATAACATAATGAGATTCTAGACCCAGCTGTCTCTCACATTGGTGGGCTCCAATCCCTGCTTAGGCTGGCCACAGTTTAAAATGCTATACTGGTTGACTAATTCTGTGGACAGAAAGCTAGGACTCATGTAACACTGGACCAAAAACATAGACTGTGCTTGGTCCAGAGAAGGTCAGATTCGACTGCCTGGGTCCCAGGTAACACGGGGTCACCTCAGGCACCAGTGGGTTTCTTCAGACACACAGGCTTCTTTTAGACAAGTATGTTTATATTCCAACTGCTTCCTGGCCCCCTCTCCCAAATTCTTCCAGTCTCTGTTCACACCCAGTGGTAGACTGAGTACATTTCCTCAACAAACTCTCTGCTCTGTTGCCATTTCATTGTTGCTCAACAGCCTGGTGTGTGTGTGTGTATGTGTGTGTGTGTGTGTGTGTGTGCGCGTGCGCGTGCATTCACATTCTCATTGTCCTCTGGGTGTCATCAGAACCGACAGTGTCCACAGGAAGAGGCTGCTGGCCATTGCCAGCCAAGGTTTTCATTGCACAAAGTGGGGCACAGAAATCAGATGTTTTCTAGGATGTCCAGAGGCACCAGGCCCTTCTTTCGGCCACTGCAGACCTTGATGAAGCCATCCCTTCCTTCTTCTGAGGCCACACAGATCTGAATTCAAAGGGAAGGAGGAAGAAGGGAGGCTCAGTGATTGATGCCCCCTCCGGGCACCATTTGGTGCAGAGGATGACATTGCAGGGATGGGAGAAGAAAAGCCCAGAAGAGAGAGCTCACAGCATGTGGCCTTGACTTTGGGGGGGGTGAGTGGAACCGAATTCACATGAGTATGACTGAAATAGGGAGCTACTCCAGCCCGTCCCTCTCCTCCTACAGAGCAGTGATGTAAACGTCTGTGCACCGATGGGCTCTGACCTCGGCAGGAGAGAGGAAGTCTCTCCCCTCCTCACTTTCAGACACTGATTCTATCAATGCTCAGTATCTGGAAGACCTTGCCTTCCTCGGCAACCTCTTGTGGTGATGCAGGAAGGCTAGAAATCACGGGGTGGCACACTCCGTGAAGGGTTAATATTATGGGTGAGCTGTGGGGCAGCGGACATCAACAAACAGCATCTCCTGCCCCTGCTGACTTGTGGGCAAGAAAGGGAATTCTCCAACAGGTTCAGGAGGAAGATTGCCGGGGGTGGGGGGCAGCTTGAGCTTAGGCCACACCAGGACCCACAGAATGTTCACAGACCTGGAGAATGGTCCTCTGGACACTGGCTGGACCTTCTCTAGAGGGTGGAGGGGAGGCCTGGGACTAGAGCTGCTCACAATGAGAGGGTGCAGCTGAGAGAGAGCAGTGTCATTCGCCCTTTCACCTGCAGAGGGCTGACCACATAACATGGCACCTTACCAACCTTCGATGGATTGACCCAATAATTGGAGGGGATCTTCACATGGATGCGCCTGGACAGCTCAGAAGGGAGTTCAAACACCCCTGAGTGTTCTCTCCTTTTCGTATTACTTTGCTGTGGCCCTCGGCCTGAATGGCTGCCCTTTTTGAATTTTAAACGGGATATTTTCTAAGTTTTAAAGGCTGTTAAGGCACACGACCTAATTTCAAGTATCGCCCGCCATCTGTGGGTTCCATGAACCACTTTGACTCTCTTGTAGAGAGAATAGAGATGGGTTGTGCCCGCCATTGACTAACAGCTGCTGCATATCCACAGCCTAGCAGTATGAGGGGCACTGATGTACAGTCCTCCCTCAAAATTACTCTTATTATAGGCTTATAAATGCAAATTTTCTACTGAATGGTTGGAATCTTCTTAAAAAATATACTGTGAAAACAAATTAGTGGTAGATTGGAAAATGTTTCATTTGTGAACTTGTGAATGAGCAGACAGTGGCCAGACACTGGGCCCAGGGCGGAGCTGGGCACAGGATTGAGCAGGAGGAGGAAGGTGGGTTGGCCTGCCTTGGGGAAAATGCACAGTGCTCTGGGTGACCTCCTTCTGATGCCGCACCAAAGGCCTGTCTCTTTGACGTCAGTCTTTTTCTGGGGATGCTGCATGGCCAAAGGACAATGGAGAGACGGAGGCAGGGCCTGTCTTCCACCAGTGCGGATGAATTGCAGCCTTAGAGCCGCCCAGGGTCTCTGAGAAGGTAAGTGACCTGCCTAAGGCCACCCAGCCACCCCCTCTTCTAAACGCCTGAGGGCGGCTCTCTCTCTACTCCCTGGGTGCCTGCCTCAAACCCATTCCAGAGTCTGTGAGTTTCGCTGGGGTGGGGAGGCCAGGGAATGGAGGGGGAGTCAGGGCCCCTGGCTGTCTCTACTACCAGTGTGGCCTTGGGTAAGTGCTCTCCCCCTCGGCGCCAAGGTAAAAATGTTGGACCGACTGACCAGCTCTAAATCTGAGCTCCGAGAAGCTCCTTCACACAACGGTGTTCCTTGGGACCGTGGCCGAAGAATTGAGGCCACGGATGCTGCGGCAATCCACTCTGGCCCTTCGCCATTTGCTTTTCTGTTTAAGGGGGTTCTCTTCCGATAACCTCCTCTGCCCCCGCCCCCATGGGCCTCACTTCCTCCAAGGCTGAGTTCTTCTCCTTCCCTCTCTCATCCCTCCTGCCTTCTATTTGCCCAGAGCCCTCGGCTGGGATGTCCCCCTGGTCCCACCACACTCTCCCATGTATCAGACTCCTCTGTGTACGCGCCATCCCCTGCCTCTCCCAGCGGAAGGCAAGCCCCCAGGAGCAGAAACCGGGCTATGTCATCCTTGGCACCCCCAGCACCAAGCGCCGTCTCCTGTGCAGAGCAGGGGTTTAGTAAGTGTTGGATTTGGCTAAACTGAATTGCACTGAAGCCTTCAGCCAGTGGAGGGGCTGGGGTTGCTCTGAGGAAAACTGGGGATATTCAAAGGATGTTTTGTTTGCACGGTAGAGAGAACCGACTGAACCCCAAAGGCTCTTGCTGCTTATTTCAATATCATGAGGAGAGCAATTTGGGAAAACCTGAAGCTTCTAGATAGTCTGTGATGAAAAAGCCTTTTCCTCATAAAAGTTTGGTGCGTTTCTATAGCAACCATTTGAAGGAAATGACTTGGTGTCTCTGGAGGGCAGGAGCGGTGCTGGGCCCTGGAGTTGGGCTCGTTAGGACCAAAGAGGTGGAGCTGGGGCAGGTTTGGTAGGCGGCTCCCCAAGGCCGCGTCAACCCCTGCCGTGACCCTCTCTCTCCCTATATCCTCCCCTAAGCAAACGAGGTTAGGCTCTGAGACTCAGTCCTGAGAACCCGACCCAGAACAGAGGGACAGGGGGGATTCTGCCTGCAGGGAGGTGGAGCTCCCTTTGTGCCCACAACAGGGAGAGTCTGTTCTGCTGGTTATGATGACCCACTCGGCATCCAGACGGAACCCCATAGAGGCTGGTTCCCAAGAGCAGGTGGCGACCCCATTTCCCAGTCTCTCCCTGGGTTCCTTCTGCAGACCTTGCTCCCTCTGTGGCACTGTGACCACCATGCCCAGCTCTCCATCTTGGCTTTGCCTGTTTCTGCTCTCACAGCCTCACAAGGACAAACCCCTCCTTTTTGTGGCAGCCCCAGGCTCGGGGACAACTGTCTCCCTGCGTCTGTAACTTGTGGCTGGGCAAAGGGATGAACCTGTGAGAACCAAGATCTGCCTGAAACAGACAGGCAACCTGCTCCCAATGGCTGAGCTCAAGGAGAGGCCTGGACAGGTGTGGAGGGAAGCGGGGATCTGAGAAGGAAACATGGGACGTGAAGCTGCAAATTTCAAGGGGAAAAGAAGGAAGGCAATCAGAGCAGGTGACTCATCCATCCCACTGCCTCCGCATCTGATGTGTTGGGGAGAGGAAAACTGAAAGGGCCTGGTGGTGGACCAGAGCAGAGATGCAAAGTCTGCACAATGTGCCTTCGTTTATAGCTGTCTAAGGTTTGTCCCTGGCCAGAGAGGAAAGTCAGTGGGGAGCCAGGGTCTGGAGGGGCCATGCAGAGCCATGAGCTCTCAGAGACTAAGCGAGAAGGCAGGAGGAGGGAGCTGTCTCAGCTCTGGCCTTTCCTTTCCCAGGGCTCCTTGGGCGCTGTCTTCAGGGCTGATCCCCGCACCAACCAGGTCAGGATCCCCTCAGGGGTCTGCACTGTGGGGCCTGTGATGAGGGGGGCCTTTCTGAAGCCCCCAGTGTCACTCAGAGCCAAGCTGGGTGGGTGAGCTGGGTAGGAGGGGCTTCATTCCCAAGAGAAGCCGGCCCTTAGCTTTTGTGTTCCTCTGAGCTGCCTTGGAAGGGCTGTCCTGAGGCCTGAGGCCAAGGCTGCTGGGAGCAGTGGTGGCAGCTCGGGGATGATGGCTGAGGATGCCGATGGTTGATGAGTCTACAGTGTCTCTTCACTCACTGAATTCTCACAAAAACCCTTTGAGGGAGGTACGGTCTTACCCAAGAGGGCACAGAGAACCAGAGGTTAAGCAGCTGACCTTGGAGGGCTTCCAGCCCAGCTCCTCCTGACTCTGGTACAACCTGGTCCCAAGACACCACTCTGCCTTCCTCACCTCTAAATGTCTAATGTGCCCAGACGACTGCTCTGGAGGTGAAAACTCTTCTGGACATTCAGAGAGGCAGTTTGGGGGCACAGTAGGTGGACAGCTGGACCTGGGGTCAGAATAGACCTTAGCTGATGACTAGCTGTGGGACCCTGAGCAAGTCACTTGGCCTCTCTCTGCCTCAGTTTCCTCACCTGTAAATTGGGGATAACAGCACCTCCTTCCCAGGGTTGTTGTGAGGATGAAATGAAATAATGTTTGTAAAGTGCTTTGTAAGCCTTAAAGCGCTAACTCTGAATGCTAGCCATCATCATCATCATTATTATTATTATTATTATTACCACCATCATCCGTTGCCTGTTCTAAATCTACTGATCAGATCACCAACTTGGGGCCTCCTTTCTTGGGGGTCTGTGCTATTCACTCACCTGGTTCTCCTTCAGAGTGATCTGTCCCTGCTCTTTGCAGCCAATGAAGGTCTGGACACACTTGAAAATCTTCTCCTCTGGCTGCACGCGCTGAACAAAGTTGGCAGGAAAAAACCCAGTTCGGTCTTGAATTTTCCCCTGCAAAGTGAAGAGGAGCATGAAGCCATCTCCTGCAGACTGCTGAGAAATACAGCCAATGACCAGAAAAAGAATGGAATGGAAATACACCACCTTCCACCAGTCTTCATTGGAATCCTCGAGGAGTGTGACCACATCTCCGGGCCTGGAAGGAAAGAGAGAAAGGCCTTTGGACCTAGGAGGTACAGGCTGAGGACCTCAGAAAATTACCAGACCTGCCTGTTGTCCGCCCAAAGACCCTGGTGGCCAGTTGGCAGCTAATGCTGCTGACCACTCGCTGTGGTCTCTTTCTAATTCATAGCCACTGTTACAGCAGATCTGCAGCACCCTGGGCACGCTGAGCCATGATGGAGCGCTGCACTTTGGGATGTCCGGGAAGCGCCATGTTTTTGAGCTGTTCCAGTACTAGAAAGATGGCTGGGAGGGCTTTGGTCACTACAAGATGCGTTCCTTAGCTCTGGCCCTGGGTGTTTATCTCAGGGCACGGATCGGCCAGTGCTTCCTTCCAGCTGGCCAAATCTGCTGAGGCACCAGCAGTTTCTGGGCAAAGAGCCTCCCACTGAGACTGAGCCATCAGGAGACATTGGTGCAGGAGCTCCTGACCAGCGCAAGGATTACATTCCGAGCTGGAGTGGCTGGCTGACTAAGGTGCCTGGTTTTCTTCTGCAGCACCCCCGGCTCACCTTGCCCAGCAGGAATGCAGTGACGGCTCTGGTCCGGGGAGTTCTCGTTCCCTACCCACTGGATTGACACCAGAAGATCTGAGTGTGAATGTGAGTGAGGGTGCGCGTGATGGAATGGGGGACCTCCAGTTTCTTTGTCCATCAATTAACTAGAATAATCCTCCTTTCCTAGGTGTCTATTTGTAAATTCAACCTGAATCTGCAGCAATTGGATGGACTGGGTCAAAGAGCTCACATAAAAATCACATTGGAAACAGGGTGGGAAGGACAGAAGCCTGAGTCTGTGCCATGTAATACGGGGGGTTGGCCAATGAGGGCCCAGTCCTCAGATGATCGCTTCTAGGAGGAAGAACTGCTGTGGACCTCTGGGCTCCGTCCTGGTGGGGGCGGAGGCAGCTGGTTCCAGATCCACAGGATGGGCCCCACGACTGGCATCCTCTGCACTTCTTGTTCTGGCCACATCTCAAAGAGCCTGATAGACGTCATACAGAGGTGGGCAGGCCTCACGGATGGTGAGCAGCCACGTGGCGTGGCCTCATCTTCATTCTTGGAGGAAGCCACTCTCCAGGAAGGTTGTACCTTGTGAGGCCTGTCTCTATCTGAGCCCAAGAGTCCATGACAAAGAAACTGATGATGCATTTTGCATGTATGTAATTGATGATGCATTTTGTATGTGTGTAATTGATGATGCATTTTGTATGTGTGTAATTGATGATGCATTTTGTATGTGTGTAACTGATGCATTTTGTGTGCAATTGGTGATGTGTTTTGTATGTATGTAACTTATGCATTTAGTATGCAAGTAACTGATGATGCATTTTGTATGTGTGTGATTGATGCATTTTGTATGTGTGTAACTGATGCATTTTGTATGCAATTGGTGATGTATTTTGTATGTATGTAATTGATGTATTTTTTATGCAAGTAATTGATGATGCATTTTGTACGTATGTGATTGATGCATTTTGTAACAGATGCATTTTGTATGTGTGTAACCGATGCATTTTGTATGCAATTGATGATGCACTTTGCATGTATGTAATTGATGCATTTTGTATGCAATTGAAGATGCATTTTGCATGTATGTAATCGATGCATTTTGCATGCAGTTGGTGATGCACTTTGTATGTGTGTAACTGATGCATTTCACATGCAATTGGTGATGCATTTTGCATGTTTGTAATCAATGATGCATTTTGCATGCATGTATGTATTTTGCATGTAATTAATGATGTATTTTGTATACATGTAATTGGTGATGCACTTTGTATGTATGTAGTTGATGATGCATTTTGAGATCTTTGGAGACAGCTGCCATAAAGAGGGATTTCAAAGGTGGTATCACCTCTCTCCGTTGCAGGATCTGTCAGCTTTTTTGAGCCGAGGAAGACTGTTTGGCCAGTAGATGGCTCAGTGCAAAGCATGCTGCGCCTGGAGTCAGTAACACCTGCGTTTGAATCCTGATTCACTCAGTACCCGTGTGACCCTAAACAGGTCATTTAACCCCTCTCAGCCTCAGTTTCCTCATCTGTAAAATGGGGATAATTGAACCCACCTCCTAAGGCTGCTGAGAGGACCAAGGGAGACAATGCATGCAGAGAAGGACCTTCAGGCTGTCTAGAAATCCCAGACATCGTCAGCGTGCATTCTTATGCTCAGCGCTGCGCCTTCATCCCCTGCTCCTCTGTGCTAACTCCAGCATTTGCCGAGGCCTCCACATCTCTATGAGGTGCCACGAGGCCTGAACCGGCACGGGGAAGCTTCCTAGATGCTTGGGCGGGACTATCTACATTCATGCAAACTGACCCAAGTCCGCACGTAGGTTATTTACTTCCAGCCCGCCTTCGGTTCAGTCAGCTCCAGCGGCTACCACCGCCATCATTCATGAAGAAGACGAGATGGAACGCGTGTGAGCGTGTGTGCTGGGAGATGGGGGCACATCGTCCTGGGGACCGCGGGGTGAAAGATTGGGTCGTACGGTGAGAGGGTCGGCCAATCAGGCAACAGCTAAGGGGTGGGCCCTGTGCTGAGCGATGGGAACACAAAGAAAGGCAAAAATTCCCGAGTCCAAATCCAGTCCCTGCCCTCTAACTGTGCACATTCTAATGGGGGAGAAAAGTGTACATGCATAGGTCTATTCAAACTCCACGCAGAGTAGATGAGGGACACATGGAGGGAAGACACTAGCACTGGGGGAGGGAGAGACCAGGAAAGTCCTGCTGAAGGTGGGCTTTGAGCTGAGACTTGAAGGAAGCCAGGGGAACTGAGACGCAGAGGAGAGGAGGAAGAGTGTCCAGGGACAGGGAACAGCCAGTGCAAAGGCGCAGAGATGGGAGATGTCAGTGAGGGAAAGCCGGCAGGTCAGCGTCTCTGGATCATAGAGTGCATGGAGTGGACCAAGAAGGGAGGCAGCTGGGAGGGCAGGAGAGGATTTTGCATTTATTCAGGGAGGTGATAGGGAGCCGCTGGAGTTCAATGAGGAGGGGGTGTCTCTTCTGTCCCCCGAGATCTCCCATCCTCATCTCCTCCCACTTCTGGGACGGCTGCTTAGACCAGGGGTCAGTAGGATGGAACAGAAATCTCAGGGTCTCTAAGTGAGTCCTGGGCTTCAGCTGGGGCACAGAGGGGAGACGAGAGATCTCCCAGGGCCAGGACCATGTTGCTGCCTAATAGCGCCCTCTCCATCTAAAATCACACGTTGGTGCAGGGAGCTCAGTCATGGCCACACAAGTCATCTCCAGGGCCATTGAGCCCCAAGAGGCCTCCACACCCCACCAACGATGCTGCTCCATCCTCTAGGTCAGCAGTCCTGATCCTCCCTTAAGCCAACAGCAGCAACTGGCCTGATTTCAGAGAAGGCGGCTACTACATTTCACCTCTGACTATCCCAGTGGGAGTTCACCTTTATCTGATGGAACAGAGGTTGGTGACAAGAGGGCTTGGGACCTCAGGAATCCTCAAAGTGACCCTCCTTCTGAGAAGCTTGGGGGAAGTCACAGAGAGAAGAGGTAGTTACCAGAGGGAAGACATGAAGTGTGAGAGGAAGGGAGGAGAAAGGAGAGGGGGGGAGGGGGAGAGAGAGAAAGAGACAGAGGCAGAGAGGGAGGAGAGAGAGAATGGGGATGATTGGGTGAATAATGAGGATGCTCTGAACACTGCTCCATCTGAAGAATCAAAGAGAAGCCCTGGCCAAGACCTGGGGGTGTGTGTGGGGTGGGGGGTGGGGAGGGTTTGTGACATAGCTGAGGATGCTGGAGTTTAACCGGCATGGGAGGGAATTTTCCCATGCCCCACTTTTCCAGAAGCCAGCACCAGCAGAGCACTTCAGTAGCTTTAATTGCTAATTAACTTCCCATTATCTTCAGAGGAAGAAAGGACAAGCCCCAGAGGGGCCCATCTGGCCTGGAAGAATCGCCCCTTTCCTGCAGAAACATGGTTGGAAAATCCATAAACCTTCTCATGAGACTTACTCATATCTTCTAGTCTTGATGGGAAAAGAGGAAAACAGCTTTTGGCTTGCCACAGAGAGATGAGCACGCCCCAAAGCTCTGTGGTCAGTGCTGACCTGCCTATGGGCCACTGGGCTTCATGGGGCTGAAAGCTGCCCAGAATTCCCTGCCGTTCAGGGTCCCTCCCGCAGTGCCAGAGGCTGGGGCTGCTTTGTCCACCATTTCTCAAGCTTAAGGTAGCTTTGGTTTGGGTCGGCTGGTGATTTATGTGAGTCCTGAATGAGCTCAGGTCTGTGGGTGAGACCCAGTCAGCTGGCTTTTCCTTCTTCCCGGGAAAGCCGGACCTGTCTTACCTCATTTCCAGGTCTTCATTCTCCTGCGGGACAAATTTGTACAAGGCAACGTAGGTGCTGGTCTGTGCTGTGTCTTTGTGTAGAGGTCCCTGTGAGATGGGAAAGAAGAGAGGGAAGGGAATGGGAGTGTGGGTGCCCCTTCCTTTCAGGGTGCTCCCCCCAAAGTGTGAAGGTATCAGACCTTCTCGAAGGCTGCCCTACTGCAGACCCCTGTTCCCTGGGCGCGACTCCACTCTCACCATTTGTGATGTTGCCATGATCGCCTGCCCCACATGCTCACTAATGAGAAGGGCTGGCTCAGAGGGGGGGTCCAGGGAAGGAAGCTCGTCTGATGCAGAAAGAGACCAAAGTGCCCAGGAATCAGTGCAGTTCTTTCTTCTTTGACCCCTAGACAAGAGCCCCCCAAATGGATGTCTGGTAGGTCAAGGGAGGACCCGGCAGGTGGGCCTGTCTTTGGCATCAGATGAGCAGGCAGGTTCCCAAGATGCTGTTTGGTAAGGCAGATGGTTGGGGTCCAAGGGGTGGGGTAGAGGCTGGGGTCAAGAGGGCCAGTTAACATTGTTGGATGAGTATCTGCTGGAGAGTGAGGAGGGAAGGTTCTCTAGTCTTTTCAGGAGAATAACCCTTTTCTGAGCTGTTTCCTGCCCAATGTTTGGTATGGATATGATATCGGGACCCAAGACTGAGGAACTGGTGTTTCCCTCATTCCTTCATTCACTCACTCACTCATTCTGCCATTACTCATCCATCCATCCATCTACCCATCCATCCATCCGTCTATCCATCCATCCATCCATCCATCCATCCATTCATCCATCTGTCCATCCATCCATCCATCCATCCATCCATCCATCCATCCATCCATCC